TTCGACAAGTTCAAGGAGTTTACTACGATGAGACTTTCTCACCCGTAGCGATGCTTAAGTCTGTCCGAATCATGTTAGCAATTTCCGCATTTTATGATTATGAAATTTGGCAAAGGGATGTCAAAACTGCATTCCTTAATGGATATCTTAAAGAAGAGTTGTATATGATGCAACCAGAAGGTTTTGTCGATCCTAAAGGTGCTAACAAAGTGTGCAAGCTCCAGCGATCCATTTATGGACTTGTGCAAGCCTCTCGGAGTTGGAATATACGCTTTGATAGTGTGATCAAAGCATCTGGTTTTATACAGACTTTGAAGAAGCCTGTATTTACAAGAAAGTGAGTGGGATCTCTATAGCATTTCTAATATTATATGTGGATGACATATTGTTGATTAGAAATAATACATAATTTCTGGACAGAAAGATACTTGAATAAGAATTTTTCAATGAAGGACCTAGTGAAGCTGCTTATATATTGGGCATCAAAATCTATAAAGATAGATCAAGCCGCTTAATTGGACTTTCACAAAGCACATACCTTGATAAAGTTTTGAAGAAGTTCAAAATGGATCAGTCAAAGAAAGGGTTCTTGCCTGTGTTACAAGGTGTGAAGTTGAGTCAGACTCAATGCCCGACCACTACAGAAGATAGAGAGAAAATGAAAGTCATTCCCTATGCCTCAGCCATAGGTTCTATCATGTATGCAATGTTGTGTACCAGACCTAATGTGTGCCTTGCTATTAGTGTAGCAGGGATCTACCAAAGTAATCCAGGAGTGGATCACTCGACAGCGGTCAAGAACATCCTGAAATACCTGAGAAGGACTAAGGATATGTTTCTTGTTTATGGAGGTGAAAAAGAGCTTGTCGTAAATGGTTACGTCGATGCAAGCTTTGACACTGATCCCGATGACTCTAAGTCACAAACTGGATACATATTTATATTGAATGGTGGAGCTGTCAGTTGGTGCAGTTCCAAGCAGAGCGTCGTGGCGGGATCTACGTGCGAAGCGGAGTACATAGCTACTTCGGAAGAAGCAAATGAAGGAGTCTGGATGAAGGAGTTCATATCCGATCTAGGTGTAATACCTAGTGCATCGGGTCCAATAAAAATCTTTTGTGACAATACTGGAGCAATTTCCTTGGCGATGAATCCAGATTTCACAAAAGAACCAAACACATCAAGAGACGCTTCAATTCCATCCGCGATCAAGTCAAGGAGGGAGACATAGAGATTTGCAAAATACATACGGATCTGAATGTTGCAGACCCGTTGACTAAGCCTCTCTCATGAGAAAAACATGATCAGCACCAAGACTCCATGGGTGTTAGAATCATTACTATGTAATCTAGATTATTGACTCTAGTGCAAGTGGGAGACTGAAGGAAATATGCCCTAGAGGCAATAATAAAGTTGTTATTTGTATTTCCTTATATAAGGATAAATGTTTATTATTCATGCTAGAATTGTATTAACTGGAAACTTAGTACATGTGTGAATACATAGACAAAACAGAGTGTCCCTAGTATGTCTCTATTTTACTAGCTAATTAATCAAAGATGGTTAGGTTTCCTAACCATAGACATGTGTTGTCATTTGATGAACGGGATCACATCATTAGATAATGATGTGATGGACAAGACCCATCCGTTAGCTTAGCATTATGATCATTTAGTTTTATTGCTATTGCTTTCTTCATGATTTATACATGTTCCTCTGACTATGAGATTATGCAAATCCCGAATACCAGAGGAACACCTTGTGTGCTATCAAACGTCACAACGTAACTGGGTGATTATAAAGATGCTCTACAGGTGTCTCCGATGGTGTTTGTTGAGTTGGCATAGATCGAGATTAGGATTTGTCACTCCGTGTATCGGAGAGGTATCTCCGGGCCATCTCGGTAATGCACATCACCATGAGCCTTGCAAGCAATATGACTAATGAGTTAGTTACGGGATGATGTATTACGGAACGAGTAAAGAGACTTGCCGGTAACGAGATTGAACTAGGTATGAAGATACCGACGATCGAATCTCGGGCAAGTAACATACCGATGACAAAGGGAACAACGTATGTTGTTATGCGGTTTGACCGATAAAGATCTTCGTAGAATATGTAGGAACCAATATGAGCATCTAGGTTCCGCTATTGGTTATTAACCAGAGATGTGTCTCGGTCATGTCTACATAGTTCTCGAACCCATAGGGTCCGCATGCTTAACATACGATGATGATTTGTATTATGAGTTATGTGATTTGATGAACCGAAGTTTGTTCGGAGTCCCGGATGAGATCACGGACATGACGAGGGGTCTCGAAATGATCATGAGGTAAAGATTCATATATTGAAAGGTTACATTCGTACATCGAAATGGCTCGGGTAGTTTCGGAGTACCGGGGGTTACCGGAACCCCCCGGAAAGTTCATGGGCCTTCATGGGCCTTAGTGGAAAGGAGAGGAGGGTCACAAGGGAGGCCGCGCCCCCCATGGCCAGTCCGAATTGGACTAGCGAGGGGGCGGCACCCCCTCTTTCCTTCTCCCCTCTTCCTCCTTTCCTCTCTCTCCCTCTCTTGGAAAGGAAGGGGATTCCAACTAGGATTGGGAATCCTAGTTGGACTCCCCTATGGCGAGCGCCCCCCTATGCCCGGCCTCCTCTCCTCCCCTCCATTATATACGTGGGAGGGGGCACCCCAAAGGCACGTCAAGTCTTCTTTTAGCCATGTGCAACGCCCCCTTCATAGTTACACACCTCGGTCATATCGTCGTAGTGCTTAGGCGAAGCCCTGTGATGGTAAATTTATCATCACCGCCGCCACGCCGTCGTGCTGACGGAACTCTTCCTTGGGCTCGACTGGATCAAGAGCTCGAGGGACGTCATCGTGCTGAACGTGTGCTGAACACGGAGTTGCCATACGTTCGGTACTTGGATCAGTTGGATCGCGAAGACGTTCGACTACATCAACCATGTTACTAAACGCTTCTGCTTTCGGTCTACGAAGGTACATGGACACACTCTCCCGTCTCGTTGCTATGCATATTCTAGATAGATCTTGCGTGATCGTAGGTAAATTATTTGAAATACTGCGTTCCCCAACACCTAGTTCTCCCGGTGGATTGTCGACATTCATGGACTTCCTTGCCCGCCGAGGAAACATGGTTGGCGCCCTTGATGTCAAGGTGCTTGTCGGCTTGCTCTGCCGAAAGGAATAACCTCACCTTGGGATCGTCCATTATAGCACGCCCCGATGCTTTTGCCGGTTGTGTTGTGTTTGTCGCGTGGGGGTGTGGCCGGGGATTGGGAGAAATTCATGGTTGGTCATATGCTGGTGTCCGAGACTGCGGTGACACTTCATGTTGTTTCCCATCTTGATAGTGTTGTTTTGATCCCCGATATGGTTGAGTATATGTGTACTTTGGGAGAAATCCCTACTTGGATCCTATACTTGAGCGAGTATGACGCCAGTCCCCTGCGTTGTTATTGTTAATCTCCCTGATCGTGATCTTGAGTGCACCTATACTCGTTTTGTCTCTGTTTGTACGTCGACAACTGCTCCCCCTGCCCAACCCTCCATGCGATGCCTCGACGTTGACTTCCAGCTGTTGTGCTTGCTCAGTTCCTTTCAATGGCGGTCATTGTGCTGCGAGGAGCTTCGTGCTCTTGGTGTAGCCTCGGTTTATTTTTGTTCAAAGGTGGCGCAAGGTGGCTCCCCAACTTGCTAATCGTCTTGATTTACTATGATGGAGCCCCTCTCAAGGTTCCTATTCGAAGACACTCTCTCGGCTTGCATTTCTCTAGTATCTTGCCCCTTTTTGGCGGAGCCTGCGGTCATGCTTTGACATCCGTTGATCATGGATGTTCTTGTATACCATGCCGCTGGGGATCGAAATGAACGAGAGTGCCCTCGGCAACTATCTAAGTCTTGGTATTGTGATAATCTCGACAACACCACTTCTCTACTTGTGTCTCTTCTTATGATGTTACTATTGTCCTGACACGTGCCGTGTCATGGACTCGTTTTTTCTCATCTTTATTTTCCCACTTGTTCTTCGTCTATTGAGCCGGTGCGTTGATTCTGTGGGGCCTTAGCACAATGATGCCCATCTTCGGTAGGGCAATGACGGCGGCGCGTCTTTAGCTCGCTCCAATACTTATAGTCGTCGCTAGATGATCGACACATCTAGATGTAGTTTTTTTATTTATGATCTTTGTACTGCCATGAAGTTGATGAATAGATTGAAAATTTTCTTGCAGAATAAAATAAATAATTGGTATGATTTCAGCCTAGTTCATAAACGGGTCAATTTGTTCAGTCTTTTTTATCTTATTCTCCTTGTAAAAAATTATAAGATTTTCTGTTATCATAAATTGAGTGTAAACTTAGTTTGCGCGAATTATACAGAAGCATCGATTCGGTGCCCACGCTCATCTACACCCGCGATGAAAAAAATAATCCAAAACATATACTAGATTTTTTTAAATCATTTTTTTGCATGGTAGATAATTTGATGCGTGAGGTGTGTGCTAAATTTCAGATCGTTTAGACATCTGAATAGCTATGATAAAAAATACAAATTTGTGGTTTATAAAAAAGATTACTGATCATGTATTATTATGATTTAGTTTTTTTTGTTAAGAGCTACTCATATGTTGAAATGATATGAAATTTAAGGGCACCTTACTCACCAAATAATCTACCATGCAAAACAGAGTTGAATTTTTTAATTTTATTTTAACCGAATCCAGATGAGTCTCAGAAATGGATATTCGAAATTATACACACTTCCGTACCCGATTTCAGAGACGAGGACAGATGGTCACTGTACACGTACCCTTCCGACGTGGCGCAGCGGCGGCCGTAGCCCTTGCATGCTTGCACACGTAGCACGGGCATACAGTGCGCGCATGCGCACTTACAAAACAGCGGTCGAGGGAGCGACCGGCGAGAGACACGCAAGTAACAGACGCCCTTTGCGTACGGATACAGGACGCGTGCAGCCATGGAGCAGCGGGCGAAGGCAAGCGAGGTCGACGGCACGGCTGCCCACCATGGCGCCCCACGCGAGTTCCTGGGTGCAGACACGGCGGAGAAGCAACGAGGCGGAGGCGACGACGTCGTCAGCGGTGGTGGCGGCGCCGCAAAGCTGGAGAAGGAGGATGCGAAGGAGAAGACGGCGGCGGAGGGGGTGAAGCCGCTGCCGCACAAGCAGGTTCGGCAGCCCAGCGATGTGTACAACCCGGAGCTCGAGCGCCTCTGAGCTGAAGCTCATTTATGTACCGAGTATTATGTTGCTTGCATGCTCTTGGTTAATCGTAAGCTAATATACTTCGAGAATTTTATCGCTGTTTTGCTAATTGTTGACCGTTTGAGATGTGAAGCCTCAGTGTGAAGGATAATTTACAAATTTCACAAAACAAATGATGTAGTACTTGTCAGAGCATCAACAGTCGCGGTCATCTAATTTGACCCTTATACGCCCGCGGACGCGCCGGGCAGACCTCATTTTTCCTGTTCAACGGCCATATCCTTCATATGTTCTACCTCAAATCCATACAAAACCATGCAAATTGATTTTCTATGAACTTCAACATAGAAGGGCAGACCTCATTTTTCCTGTTCAACAGCCATATCCCTCGTATGTTCTACCCCAAATCCATACGATACAAAAGATATCGTTTGAGTTCATCAATAACCGGTACTAAAAATCAACTAATTGTACTAGGCGGGCCTGTGTCGGACAAGCGTGGCGCACCGCGGAGCTGCTGCTGCCCACCCGGCCAGTCGCCGACACCCCGGAAGAGGAGCTGCCGCCCTACTCCAGCAGCGACTGGCAGAGGGCAATGCACAGCACTAGCTCCTATTCCGATAGGTCGGACTCAATGCCGAACATGACGCGCCGCGGAGCTGCTGCTGCCCACCCGGCCAGTCGCCGACACCCCGGAAGAGGAGTTGCCGCCCCACTCCAGCAGCGACCGGCTGAGGGCAATGCAGAGCACTAGCTCCTCCTCCGATAGGTCGGATTCAATGCCGAACATGACGGTCGGGGAATGATGAAGTGGATTTCGGGAAGAAATGGAGAGGTCGAGTGAG